GGGAAGCCGGCCCGCCGCCTCAGCCGCTCACCATCCACTGCAACATCACGGTGAGCCCTCAAAAGGCCCGGCTTCTTCTCAGGGAAGGGGGTAAAAACCCCAGTAGGATCTGGCGGGGGTAGTTACTCCGGGGGAGTTACTCCGCGGTAAGGGAGTGGCGAGACGCCGGGAAAGGAAAAGGCTGCGGGTGTGGTGTCCCCCGCCCCCTCAGCCTCCTCTGTTGAGGGCTTCGTTTGGGGGGTACTCCAGGTCCCATGATCCCTCAGCAGGGAAGCTGATGGATCTGGAGGGGTGTGTGTGTGTGTGTGTGTGAGCTCAGTAGTTTGGGCCAGGGAAATGGGTCCCCGTGGGGGGATTGAGCCTCTGGAGGGTTGAGCCGGAGGTCGTTGTTCCAGGGGTAAGTTGTGGCCCACGGCGGAGGTAAACTGGGGAAGGGGCTGTGTTCGAGTCTTACCCCCAGCTTCAGTGGTGGGGGCAGGAATAAAGGAAGGGAGAGGGGGCAGGAATTGGGTCACCCCCAAAGGTCTGGGACCTGGAGAGGAGGTCCCTCATCTCTGGCAGGTGTTGATTTGGAGGGTTTTGGACCGAGGTCAGTCAGCCAATAATTCCTGCTTTGGCCGAGGGTTGGACTAGATGACCCTGGAGACCCTTCCGAAGACGAAGATTGGCTACTTGTTTTTGAAGAGAGGGAAGGGATTAATCCTAGATACTGTATTCAGTTTGGTGAAGGCTCGGGTAGAATTAGGACTGATGGTTAGGAAAAGTTAGGAGGGCCATGATTTTTTTTTAGAGAAGGGATCCTTTTTTTAAAAAAAAATATTTTATTTCAGGCATAGCTTCCTGTTACAGAGCCCAGCAGCAGAGCAGTGAAAGACTGGGGTTAGGATTGTGGGGTGGATCACAAGAATAAGATGGGTGGTGAGTGACTCGCCTTGAAGGTGGTGGGAGCATGTGCTTCTAGGAATAGGATGCCAAGAGATTGGGGGGTTTCTGTGATGATGAGGGTGGAAATACTGATTGATCTAGCTGTGATTGATCGCCTTTTCCCAAGGGATAAGGTCCACTCTGGTCAGATATTTACCAGAGACTAGAGTTCAGGTCCTGTCCTTCCTTGGTTCCACTCTGATGGATGCAAACTTCAGTTGAACTTGTGGAAGGAATCTGGGCCATTTTGCATGCCAGCCACTCACGCCTATTGCCCTCTTTTGACCTATGAGAAGATCTGTTTGTGGTTCAGGTGGTTCTTAGACATCTTTTCTCTCATCCATAACTCCCATCACATGGATACGCTGGGCAGGTTTTGTGTGCAGGTTCTGAACTTTCTCATAGTTTTGAGCTTGATTGCTTGAGAACGTAAGTCTCCTTTCAAAGCAAAAGAGCCACTCTTCCGTTCTCTTTCTGTTTAAAAAAACCCAACAACCCACAACTCTGACATTTTGCTCTTCTGCCGGGCAATTGTTGTAGCAGAACTAGTCAGATATCACCTATAAAGCCAGCTAGTTTTGTCTGAAGAAGTGTGCTTAGACACATACAAGCTTATGAAAAAAAAACTAGTTAGTCTTATAGGTGCTACATGACGTTTTCAGACCTAAATTGATACAACAGATTAACACAGCAACCTGCTACTTTACCTTTTCTGAAGTTGTGATAGTTTTTTCCCCTCCACCCTCTGTTTCCACTCATAACCAAATATCTGTAGGTATTACTCAGGTTTTGGAAATAGCCATCAGAAAGGATGCGTGCTCCTCCCTTTTGCTATTCAATTTGCTAAAGTTTAGGAGGTGTTGGAATGGACAGCTTTGTCCATAAAGCCAGAAGCTTTAGAGGAATGATTCCATTCCACCAACTTTGATTTTGTTTTAAAGCTAGAACAGAAGTGTTGCAATGTGAGAAAAGTGACCTCTCTATGAGCTAGAATTAAGTATCTTCGCCCCAACCTAGAAAAGGTGGAAGCCCACAAAAGACACAGTGTTTGCACATGCTACTGAAAATGTAGTTTGCTTTTAAAACGAGGCATGAACTGACAAAATGCTTGTTTGGAAGCCAGGAATTACCCATTTATAATAGTGAGTCCTCAGCTTCTGTGAGTGTTTTATTTATTAATAGAGATGTGTAGGGTTTTTTTTTAACGGAAAAATATTTAGCGTATGTTCTGAAACTTGAGCAATATGGAGGCTGGAAAAGGCTGTTACCTTTTTTTTGAAAGCAGATTAGAATGTTGGAAAAATATGGATGGCTGTTGCTTGTGTAGGCATCCTTCAGTCTCGAGAGACTAGGGTAACATGCTCTGAATAGAGAGGTCTTGGAACAGCATCTAATGTGACTGAAAAGGCCAATTTGAGATTGACAATCCCCAATTTTGTTTAAATACAGGAATATGTATTTGAGGCAAGTTAGACAAAGGAGGGAGGTTATACGTTAGGCAAGATTGCAAAAAATGTACAGTATTCTGAGGTAACAGACTTTTTCTGTACAGCATATTAGCAGTGGTTTTTAACCTTTGGTCCTCCAAATATTTAGAGCTTCAATCCAAGCTAACTGAGGGCTTCTGGGCATTAAAGTACCAAACATCTAGAAGGCCAAATACTATTGCTTTATAGTTGTTATGTATTGTAGCTATTAATTGGCAGCAATTAGCTGCCACAACTTATGCCATTGCACCTTGTACTGTTGGATTGTGCCCATTGTTTGCTAAAACATGTACTTTTATTGGTACCGGGAAGGTCAGAATAGGAAAAAAAGGCACCAGAGTTTGTTTGCCTTAGGCATGGTTTCTGAACTGAGTCCAGGGCTCATACATTGTGAAGCCTCTGGCTTTTATTAACGAGCAAGATGTGCCTCCTTGCAACTTTCTTGGACAACTTGAGTTCAAAAGCAGCATGTTTGGAATGTTTGCAGTCTGTCTTTCTCTCTGGGAAGTGAGAGGTCAGTTCGTAAGGATCTAGACCTGGCTCTAGAGACAGAAGGAATTGAGTTAACAAGGTAGACTTGAGTGAAAAAAGGGGTCAGAGGTCAGGGTGGCCAAGAGTCAGTAATGGATTGATGTACAGGAATTTCACAAGGGAAGATTGGGTAGAAAACACAGGAAATTGAGAAAGGAGAAGGCTTTGTGTGTGGGAGGTGGATTAAGGAAAGCATGCACTGAGCCTAAGGGTTGCAAAAGCTTTCTGTTGGAAAAAAATGGGGTTGATCGGGCGGGGGGAGAAGACCCCTGTGTAATGAAGGATACTATGTGGGGTCCAGCATGGCCTAGGAAGCAGAACTGAATAGCTAGTAAGAAGATAATCTGTCAGGGGTGAGTAAAGCAAGGTCTTGGAGAAAGATGTTCTGGGATGAACCATACAAGCAGCTGTGCCTTTCAAATCACATATTAATTGCTGAGAGGGTTTAATGAGTGTGCCTTTTTCTGATTCCACTTTGCATTTAAAGATATAGGAGCCCTACCAAAAGGGAAAGGCTCTAGTTTTAGAAACAAGAAGCCACGTAAGGTCACCACTCTGTTTCTAGAATTCTAGAATGTGATACGTTTCCTGTTGCTCTATCTTTTCACCAAGAAAAAAAATGTGTCTGTTGGGTTTTCTGTAGTTAAAAGACACAAGAGAAAAATATGCCAATTCCCCATCTAAGGAATCTGGAGTTCATAGAATGTAAGTGAGATTTTTATGTGAGTCGGCTTCTTGTTTCTCCATCTAGCCCTGCAGTTCCTGAGTCCTTTGGCATCTCACACACACCCTTCCCTCCAAAAAAATATTCGAGAAACATTCACGCCTTCCCACTGTTCAACTGCTTTTTAACGAAAACAGTTCCGTTCATAAGAAACATATTTAAGTTGGTGAAACAAATTATTTATTGAACTGTTGGACACATCCCTTCCTTGGAGTTTGAGCAGGCCACGGTAGGAAACAATGATCGAGCCTAAAATGGTCTATTCTGATTGGTGCCAGATCCATCAGGTCTGGTAGGAAACAATGATCGAGCCGTATTCTGATTGGTGCCAGATCCATCAGGTCACAGGTAGAAAAGAGTTTTCTGCTGCCTCATCCTTTAAACTGGAGATGCCATGACGTATCCCCTGCCGCCTCATCCTTTAAACTGGAGATGCCATGAATTCATGGACAGACCCTTGTACCTTTGAGATGCATAGAAGAAGAAAAAATTCCTCAATAGTGAGAAAAGTTAAGCCATTGTAAAATGTGCTTTTGAAAGATTCTTGAATGTTGAAGCAAATGCCAGCGCTTGTGGTGTCGGTATATAGATGGTAAAGATGCTTATCTTTGTTGTCTCACTGCTCCAGTGATTTGGACTGGCGATTCCATAATCCTGATCTTTTCCCCATGCTAGCAGAGATTTATATGCGCTGTAGTCCAAAATATCTGGAAGCATTAGCTACCCTTACATTGCCATGCTTCATTTTAGGATGACCTAAGTTGGGGTCATGGCAGTAGTATTACTATTGGCTTCTTTGTTTAGAGATTTTTAAAAAGAGGGGCTCACTTGGTGTCGCTCTCAAAATATAATAATGATGCTTGGCAATTTGTCATGCTTTCTTTGTAACAGCCTCATGCAGTTGGGTCAACATCATTTCAGATGAGAGTGTAGTACATTGCTGCATGCTACCTAGGCATTTCCTGACAGATGAAACTTGAATTTGGGATACCCTTAGTCAGAGCTCAATCTCTGAGCTGCTGTACTATACATACTTCCAATAGCCACAAATGTCAAGTTGCATTACACAGTACTTTCTTCCATGCATCTTCTAAAGATACCAGAACCCCACTCTCCTTCTGACAGCTAGAAGGAAAAATAGGCCGAGTGATGTCGTGTGGTTCAGAGATGTGTAAAAGTGGGTTCTCCACTGTAAATTGAAGACCCAAGGTGGTTCTTGAGTCTGAAAGAGTCGAGGATTGATGGCTAAGCTAAACTAGGCCCAAGGCATTTATAGGTTATTAGTCGGCACCAGATTGACAGGACCGGAATAATCCTAAAATGGTTATTTATCTGTGCACACATACTAGCCACTGGTGTAGCCTGCTTGCTTACAGCTGGATGC